AGGATGACATAGGACTTTTTGTATGTGATAGATAACTTGCTTCAAGGTTCCTTGCTTTTCTTATTGATTTGATAACATGACAAGTAAATTGACTAGATGGATTTGCTTTTTGCATATCACTTTTATAATTTTACTGATTAGCAACTGTCTTTCTTAAAAGAGAAAATAAATAAGTAGATCACGCCAAAATAACACAGCTTATTCTGGTAGATCCCACCAAAATAATAGAGATGGATGGATCCCTTCCTATCTGTAGCAATAATACCATCGCAGATTTACAGTAGATGATTTCTGCTAAGCATTTGTATCGCGAGACCTCACAAGTTTCTATTCTTTCTCTGCTGCTCTTTGCCGCTATAGGAAGCTACTGAGATGATAATTTTGATATTTATCAATTTTTTTTTCTGTCATCAGTTTTTAGATAACATTGAACCTTTTCTTGGACATCTGAATCAAGAGAGGCTCTCTCTCTATTGTATTTGAGAGTTGATTGAAAGCTGTTATTGGCCACAGATAGTCTTTGACTTATGACCACATTTGAGACGTCTTGCTCAGTGAGGCAGTTCTTAAGTGAACCACACTTTATTTTACAACCTTTTTTGCCATGGTCATTGAGCGAATCCCTGAGTTCATTAAGCAAAGCAAATCTGGCTTCCCCCATTGATTTTAGTTATAAGAGGTCATCAGAAAATTAAAAACAAGGATCACATGACCCTGGGATGCTGCAACCATCATAAATCCATGCCGCTTGCCAAGGGCCCTATTTTGATCATGTGACCACAAGAGACATTGGATAACTGTTGTAAGTGTGAGCATAACTCAGCACCGCAATAACTCTGAATAAATGGTTGTAAGTTGAGGAATACCTGTATGCAATTACTAACGAAAGCAGAATCCAAGGAACTTAGAAGGTAAAGTGTATAGTTAAAAAAATACATTTTATAGGATTTTAGAATATATTTTTGCTCATTCCAACCAGGAGATAACTAGGAAGTTTTAAAATGGAAGCTGAAAACCTTTGAAGAACAAACTTTACCTAACATATTACTGTTATCTGGCTTTGGCAAATATCTTAGTAAATGCTATCACATCTGTCTCAACAATTGTCTCTTTAATTCTGAGATAAAGTCCAATGATTTTTGAGATTTAAATAATCCCAACTACAGTAATGATACCAGAGAATAGCATTCAGTATTTAGGTTTTATAGATAGAAATTACATATACTTTGCCGTATGTAAGTACAAGAGGTCTATAAAATATGGGTCAGGAAGCTAGTCAGGGATTTGAAGCCACTGTCCTGGCCATTACTATGCTCCTATATGGAGACCCAGTTTTGTGTAGTGGATAAGGCACCAGGCTAGAAACTGGAGACCATGAGTTTTAATCCAGTCTTAGGCATAAAGCTTAGCTGGGTCAGTTCAGTTATTCTTCTCAGTCCTTGTTGTTGTCAGCTGCAAAGTTGTGTCTGACCCATTGCAACCCCATGGACAATGTTCCTCCAGGCCTTCTTGTCCTCTACCATCCTCTGGAGTCCATTTAAGCTCACGCCTACTGCTTCAGTGATTCCATCCAGCCACCTCATTCTCTGTTGTCTCCATCTTTTGCTCTCAATCTTTCCCAGAATTAGGCTCTTCTCTGATGAGTCCTTCCTTCTCATTTGGTAGCTAAAGTATTTGAGATTCATCTTCAGGATCTGGCCTTCTAAAGAGCAGTCAGGGTTGATCTCCTTTAGGACTGACCGGTTTGATCGCCTTGCAGTTCAAGGGACTGGCAGGAGTCTTCTCCAGCACCATAGTTCAAAGGCCTCAATTCTTTGGTGCTCAGCCTTTCTAATGGTCCAACTTTCACAGCCATACATTGCAACTAGGAAAACCATAGCATAGACCTAGGAAATTGTAAAAGGCAAACCACCTTCAAAAAATATTTGCAAGAAAAGTACAGGGACTAGACCAGGTAGTCACCAGACATCAAGACTGAGTTGAAGTCCCAAAACAAACAAACAATGCTACCATATACTATTATCACATCAATATATACAGTAGTATATATAGCTGGGCACATATTTTGCTAGAAATGAAAACCAAAGGGTCATTGTTTGAACCAAACCATTAATTTTACTTACAGAAAATGCAGCATAAATAATAATGCAATACCATTAAGACAAATTGATTATAATCAAGGACCACAACTCTGATCCTTTCTTCCTGCACTGAAACCATTATAGAAATTATTGAATGATACTCTTGTTATAGAATTAAGGTTTCTCACACACTCACCAGAAAGCTACCATTCTGCTCTGGGTTCTACAGCTTATATTTACCTGCTTATTGGCTAGAATCATTACTGGCAACGTAGAATTATTCTGGACCAACTGATGAAGAAGTGTTTTTGCAACTGGGAAGCGTTCGTGATCTGCTGAGTCTACAACATAGATCAGCAGCAGGACTCTCGGCATATACATCTTCCAATACTCTCTTAAAGACTCACTGCCCCCAACTGTAAATCAATAATATAGGAAAAGAATCAGCAATTATCAATTAAAACTCCCATCAGCATAGTAAAACTTTCAACAGGAGGCAGCTACGTTTCAAACTCATTTCATGGACATGCTGAAGTACATGATAGAAAATCTTGCCAAAAGTTATCATGCATAATTCAAAATATAGCAGAAAAATACTAAGGTTAAAGTGCATACATTCAACTGGAATTAAGATATAGAATAAAAAATGATAATATTGTCAGGCCTGCATCCATCTTTTTTTTTTGATCTTTGCCCTGCCACACTTTTTATTATTCTACTATGCATTTTCTATTGTGGGAAAATGGAAGGGGGGATTCTATGGAGATAGATGCTATGTAGCCATAACAAAATTTGAGCAATACTTTGCTTTGGACTCTGATTTACTTTTGGATGCTATTTGGAACCCTGACGAATATGACTTCTCTTTAATGACCAATAGATGGGATGGATCTTATGACACAGCACTTTTTAAATTGAATGTCTGTGTCAGGGATGGTATTGACTTACTTTCCCTATCGGTTCGCAAACGTGTGTGTTTCTTATAAGATAGCTATACTTACTTTCTAGGAATTCCATCTTTGTTTCTTCTGTGTTGACGCACACTGCATTGAAACCTTTGGTGGGAACTGTGTTGCGCTTTACGTGGTTAGTTGCTAGTGAATAGAGAACACTGGTTTTTCCTGCCCCATCTAAGCCTAGAACCAAGATTTGCTTGTTCGATGGTATATCCTACAAAATACAAGACAAAACAATTATCAGAAAAGTAGACATTTGAACAAATAAAATAATGGAGTGATGATTATGTGGTCAACCTTCCTTACTAGTGACTGACCATACATATACCGACTACACATAAATTGGGTTAGAATTCCAGGTCAGCATAGTTACATTATTCAATGTAAGTACTGTATCTATCAAATGTTTTAATTAGATTTGTTTTGGCTAAATCAGCATAAAATTGTTACAAGTGACAAAAGATGTTTAGAAACTGAAATAGCTAATTTTCCAAATGTTGTTATAGCAATTGTTGAATTGTTGTTCACTGTTTCTGATCATAATTGGAGTAGCTAGTTGGGTTGATAGATACTTAAGAGTTCTTATCAGACAAGTAAAAGCAGGTAAGAAATCTGGACCTTAGAAAACTACACAAAGGGATTATAATTAACGACAAGCCTATAAACTACTATCCAAAACATGCGTAATACTCGGAAAATTATACTGATATCATCATTTACAGCTGGGATAGGTATCTGGTGATCCTCTAGTGCACGGGTGTCGAACTTGCCACTTCACATTGCTCTCATATGGCGTATTGCTATGTTTTCCTCATTTGAGAAGCGGGAGTGGGCACGGTCTGCAAGTGACGCATCTGACCCGCAGGCCACCAGTTTGACACCTCTGCTCCAGTGGTTACTAAACTTCAAGTCAGGCAGCCAATATAACCAAGGATGTTCTGCGTTATAGCTCTACAAAACATGTCTTCTTGGAATTTGGGCTGCCTTAACCAATCAAACATATAATGACCAAATCCAGAGGGTCAAATATTTCCCATCCTAAAAAATCATAATGGTTACCAAATCCATCAATAGTAACATATCAAAACAGACAAACCAGTCTTCTCAATCTAAAATCTTTCATATGTCTTTAAATCGGCCCCAGCCAATAATGTGCAAATATTATAAAAGTATCCAGAATGGATGTGCAAAACATGCTAGGATGTTGGAAAGGCAACTGAAGCAAAAAAATGGCTTCCTTCATTAATTTGCCTCCATGTAATGCACCAGCCAACAAAGACAACAGATTTTTGGATTTCCCTCTATAAATAAGAAGAGCATATATTGATAGTCATCTTCATAACAGAAACTTGTATCAAGTGAAGAAAATGATATGTGTACACAACAGCAATGAAACAAACAATTCCAAATGGTTCACTATTATGTTGATTTGGCATTCAAATTGCTAAGATACCAAGGTAAAACAAAGGAGGGCTAGCCCTCTGGAAGGTTTCTATTCTTATCTCTTTCCACTCTGCATTAATAGGATTCTACCTGACTGATTTTATCTAAGCCTTTCATGATCTCAAAGAGATAAATAAATCTGTAATGGTTAAGATCTATGCCTGCCTTCAGATAGTTAAAAAGAACCAAGAGCTTACAAAATCTGGAGTTACAGTCTTGGCCACTTTTCTTCCTCAACGTATTTATTCCAAAAGCTAAGTTTGTATAAATTTACTTAGAGGAGAAAAACTACTAGTTGGTGTATTTTAGTAGCTCCTTATTAAAAAAAATCTTCAAATGCAATCAAGTTGCAATCAGGCCTGCAAACAAATGAGTATCGTTGGAAAACAAAGTGATATGACCATGTTTGGTGGAACATTGAGATGGAAGAATTGTTTTTGTTTCCAACGCCTGGGGCAAAACCCAAACAATTTCCAAACAGATGAGGATCCAACAATAATAGAAATAAATGTTCCCATTGGAAAAATTAGTGAGAAACCAGAGTTGAAATGTAACTTCTTGCCATAGTTTTCAACACCTGTTCTTCTAGTGCTAGACCTAACTAGCAGATACCATGAACACCAATTATCCTCTTAGGGTAGTGGTATATTGGCACGTTTAAACTAACTCGCCAATTAATCTAATTAATTAAAATTTTAAATTAATTTAAATAAATGTAATCTAGTTTCATATAATTCCCCAATTAAATCTAATTTAAAATTCTTACAAATTATACCTTACAAAATTATGTTTTACAAAAACTTCTACGGATTATTTGCTTCGAGTGACTGTTGGAACCAAAATCAAATGGGCAGATTCTAAGCAGGTGGGATAAAGCAAGATTTGTTTCTATTTATTCTCACTGGAGAAGAGCCTAATGCTGGGAAAGATTGAGGGCAAAAGAAGAAGGGGACGACAGAGAATGAGATGGCTGGATGGAGTGGACTCACGTGGAAGCAGAAGGTGTGAGCTTAAATGGACTCCAGAGGATGGTGGAGGGCAGAAAGGCCTGGAGGAACATTGTCCATGGGGTCGCGATGGGTGGGACATGACTTGCAACTAACAACATTCTTCTTTTATAACCTCCCATCAATAGTGTGGTCTGATCCCACCTGTACTTACCCAGGAGCAAATGTTTTGACTTCCAGGAGGCTGAGTCTCCCATATTTCAACCCAACACCTAATTTTAAACCAACAACCATCTTCTTCTTTTTTTTAAAAAAACCACTTTTGCAAGGTTTTCCAGAAAGTAGATGTTGAATTACTTTTTTCCCCGTGGCTTTCCTCTTTCCGACCAGAACTGTTATAATACTGAGATTAGGAAAAATGTCCCAAAAATACAGTTCCCACCAGAACCCTTCTTCTTTAACTCCATTTGTGAAAAGGGAGAACCAGCAAACAGTTTACATTTTTTTAAAGAAAAAAAGGTACAAGTAATTAGAGTTTTACCCGTTCGACTTCTACTGACAAGAACAGTGCCTAAATGCACGGGGCTCTACTTGCAGCCTTGGAAGTTAATTCCCACGCGTTCACTACCTGTCCCGCCGGCGGCCCTGTGCCTTCTTCTTGCACCCGGAGCCGAGACTGCTGATCGTCGCGTCCCGGAGGCTCTTGGGTGGAGAGGTAATTGCGCCAAAGAACATAGGCGACCCCACCGGTGACGGCAACCGCCGTGCCCACGAACGCGAATTGCCGCAGGCTGCCCGCCATGACCGCCCGGGAGAAAAGACCTCGGGCGGGGAGGTCGGGCGGGACGGGAAGCAACAAGATCGGCGACGTTTACTTCGGTCCCCTCCGGTGCGGAGGCGGAGCCCGATTCCAAGGCCCGCCTCTTCTCGTTGGGGCTCCGCCCCCGCTGCGTCCACAACAGCTTATGCCGGAAGGAGGGTCCCTGCGGTTTCTTCCAAGCGGATGAGCCTTAGTATTGTGTGAACAACAGGCCTGTAGGATTTGTGGCCTAAAGCACGATCCTGCCTACTCGTTTACGGAGCAGTTATTCCCACTGAAGCGAGCGAGAGGGATAAGCGATAAAATCTCTCAGAGGCTCTGGGCAGCCAGAGAAAGGATCGCTTTACTTGCGCAAGACATGGCGTTTGGCGTTCGGTCTGTTGCACTAATATGCAGTTTCTTTTAAATTAGGCAAGGAATGGCTTTACTTGATTCAAGAGCTCCAGCAATGCTATCGCCTGAGCGCAAATACAGACCATTGATTCTAGGCTCTTTCTGAACACGTTGTGTATATTTTCTACCCACTAAGAAAGTCATTACCAATTAAACATAAAAAAAAGTTTAAATACTTCTGCAACATTCATTTACTTATGACATAGCGATTGCAAGGTGCATTGCTGCTTAAAAACCTGTTCCCCCCCCCCTTTTTTACATTTTTTGTTTGGAACTTGCCAAGAGCTACACTTTATTGTTTTAAACTGGATGAGTACCTTATCATAACTAAACTACAGGTAGTCCTTGACTTACAACAGTTCATTTAGTGACCATTCAAAGTTACAACAGTACTCAAAAAAGTGACAATTTTTCACACTTATGACAGTCGCAACATCCAAATGGTCATGTGATTTTCATTGGATGCTGGACAACTGGTTCATATTTATGACAGTTGCAGTGTCCCAGGGTGATGTGATCTTGCGACTTTCTGACAAGCAAAGTCAATGGAGAAGCCAGATTCACTTAACAACCATGTTACTAACTTAACAACTACAGTGATTCACTTAACAATTGTGGCAAAAAAGTCATTGAATGGGGCAAAACTCACTTAACAAATTTCTCACTTAGCAACATAAATTCTGGGCTCAATTGTGGTCATAAGTCGAGGATGACTTGTACTCTCTTAATAGTCCATAAATGGAAAATTAGGGAATATAGAAACGGATAAAATACAAAAGCATGATACAGCATTTTAAAATGTTACTGCAGTAAAATGCTTAATGACAGTATTATAGCTGGTTTTTCTTCCATTTTGGAGTCAAATGTTGAGCATTTGTTATCTATGTTCAATTTTGATTCTCTTTTATATTATCAATACACAAGTTTTGTTAGACTATTCTAAGTGCATTTTAATGAAATTAAACTTGAAGAAGGTCAGAGATATAATAGTAACAAAACTCAAGTCATAGAAAAGAATGGAACCTGTAGGAGTTCCAGGCTTTTTTATTTTTCATTCAGTGCCATAAACAGTCTATCTAGCAATCTCTGCTAGTTGCTACTAGCCAGTCAACATGTGGAAAAATCAGCTAAAGACATTATTTTTAAAACATTTTCAAGTAAAAAAAAATCAGAACTCAATTCCTTCTTAGCGTTGCTATTCAGTTCCCATTTGGTTTAATGTCTCCTTGAAATGTTCAGTTAATTCAAAAATAAATAATGCCCCCAACAATGGATTTTAATACAAAAACAAGCTTTCTCTGTAAAAAAAATTAGAGACCAAACACAATTTTGAAAAATTCACCTTGTTTTTGTTTGACCTTTATTATGCTCATAGTTGTCATAACAAGAAAAATATATAGCAATTTCAGCTGCTTGTCCTGATCACCAGCCTCCCTTTCCACCTTTCTTTTTTTTCTGTTGCTGTTTCTTTTTTGTTGCTGCTGCACCAGGAGGCTTTTGGTGCCTGGGTGGTATCATGTTGCTTGTTGATGCTGATGGAATAGCTGTTATAGTGCCAGGCCGTGGGGATGTAGGTGGGCTACTAGCAGTTTTACTAGCATCCCTGCAAAAAAAAAAGAGTAATATAAAGTTGATTTTTAGTTACAAACAGACCAAAATACATTACATGCAAAAAATTTACAGTATTCACATATTTAAGACAGATAAACTACATATGAATTCTAACTTTTGCTTGCAAAGAACTGAAGAGGCCACTGAAAATGGCTTTGGAGGACAGTTGGAAGAACTGCTACCGGGGCAACAATCAGACAAGTGAGATCTGAGTCCTTTCCCAGAAACTATGGTAACTTGAGAAAACACTTCAGATAGTCCCCCTCACTAATCCATACAAAGATAAAATATAAGGAGGAAGCACATTCAGATTTGAAATATTTTGTTACTAAATCTATTGTAATAAAAGAAGTTTTAGACCAACATGGCAGTGGTTTCTTCGTCTAGAAAGCTCTGTAAGGTTGACAAATATTTAAATAGTATATAAGGCTATTTTCCAAGGATTAATTTCCATCTACAAGAAGTTATCTGACAACTTACTATCTTTGACAATCTGTACTGAGTTCCAACTCTAATCAAAGAACTTGTAAACAATTTTGTTATTAAGCTGTAGAGAATTTATCTCAGAGACACACAGCAATATATAGTTGACCAATAATGTCCACTAAGCAGTGGGAAAGTAAACTAGATAGTTGTGATGGCTTGCTGCTTGGTATGCCAAATTTATTACACATCCTTTGTTTCAAAACCAACAAATGCAGCAGCTTTTGCCCCATGATTAGAGGTGACTAAAGATGGAGATATGCTACCATTCGATGCTACCACAAAACGTTTCAAAGCTCTTTAAAAAGCAAAAATTTCCCATGGAATTCCCTAACTGTAAAAGATAAAATTACTATTTCCCCAAATAGAACTACAACCTTCCATTCTCTCCAACTTCTGCCTGAACTGCTCAGGAAACGGCAGAAATAGCTGCAGAAATGGGACTAAAGGGGATGTTTGAATAGAAAGCTGGGCTTCAAGAACTGGAACAAAGTGAGAATGTTCTCAGATTCTATTTTTTGCCACATCACGCTTTTGTTTGCAGGCTCATACTTTGAGAGCAATGGATTCTATAAGACTTGTCCTTTGCCTTCCCTATTCAGATATTAAGAAGGCAATACAGGTAATCCTCAATTTATGACCATATTGGGATCAGAATATCTGTCAGTGTAGTCACAAATAAATTATCTAATGATCAGACCGAACTGTATGACCATTTTTAGCATGGTTGTTAAATGAATCATCTGTTAATGTAAATCCTGCAATTGTTAAGTGAATCTGGCTTCCCCAATTGAATTGGCTTATCAGAGGCTAGCTACGAAGGTCACAAATTGCAATCATGTGACCACAAGTTGCTGTAACAGTTGTAACCGCAAGCAATTGCCAATTGCCTAAATTATAATCACATGACCCTGGTGTTTGTATGACAATTATACTTTAAGGACAGGTCACAAGTCATTTTTTCTGAGGCCATCATAACTTTGAACCATCATTAAACAAAAAGTGTTAAGTCCGTGAATAAATGTGAATGTAAAGGTTTCCCCCTGACCAGTTGTATCCAACTCTAGGGGGCGGTGCTCATCTCTGTTTCTTACCCGAGAGCACCAACATTGTCCAAAGACATTTCCATGATCATGTGGCCAGCAAAACTATATGACGAGGTACATGATACCCTGTTACCTTCCCACCAAAGTGGTTCCTATTTATCTACTCAAATTTGCATACTTTCAGACTGCTAAATGGGCAGTCCAGGACTACCTGTACCCAAAGTTAGAAAAGCCTCATCTGCTTCACTATGGGACAAAACAGGAAGCCATATTAAATGATTTTAAACTGGCAACCTCATCTTCCTGAGCACTTCAGATCACAATGTGTCAATTAACTAAGCAGCAACACTGTGCCCCACATTCTGCTTTTCCAAAGACAGTAGAAAGCAATTTCTTGACAGCATTAATGATAAAATACTTAAAAGAGAACATCTGCAAAAAGGTATAATAAGAATATTGTGTATAGAAATAGCCATGTAGTAAACCTATGCAGGCAAACAAAGTAATTCAAGACATAATTCAGAACAGAACATTGTTGTTTTATAACTTACTTTTCCCTTTGTCTATAACATAAAATGCTCACCCAACTTTCCTTTTCTCAACTCATTGTATATACTATAATTAATTATAAGTTAACTAAACGCAACTATATATATCTAATATAAAATTATTTCGGATTCCTGGTCAATGTGCTTATTTATCACAGCAAAGAATTACCATCTTTTGTTCCAAACATGAAATATCTATCCTTTCATCCTTCTTACAAGTAATCCTCAACTTATAACACAACTGAGCTCAAAATTTCCACTGCTAAGCATAACAGTTGTACAACCTTTCTTGCCACACTTGTTAAGTGAACCACTGCAGTTGTTAAGTTAGTTAAGTTAGTAACATAGTTGCTAAGTGAGTCTGGCTTCCTGTTGCCAAGTGGCCATAACTATAAAAAATGGACATAAGTCACTTTTTTCAGTGCTGTTGTAACTTCGAATGGTCACTAAATGAATGTTTGTAAGTTAAGGACTACCTGTATTAGTTCTTGGGCAGCACTAGGCCCAAAACTAACATCCATAAGTTTAGATAACTAATTACTCACAATTCAGAGGAAGCTGCTGTCATTGCTCCCTGAGTTCCTTTCCCAATTTGGTCCTTCTTCTTGCCTTTCTTTCTCCCTCGATAGTAAGTGCGTTCTCGCATTGGAAGCCACCGTTCAGGATCAGGTGTCATTTTAGGATCATGATTCTTCGGCGGTTTTCCTACATAGTGTTTGGAATATAATGATTATTTGTATGTTTAAGAATAGCTGCATTGCAAAACTCATATAACCCAAAATTTTATTCCACTGCAAAACTCATATAATCCAAACGTTTTGACTTTTGACTTTTATATTAATTGTAAGCTATATGCCTTTTATTAAGGTCCCTTTTTGCAGTAATACAATATCACCACAAATAGCATACTATGCAAAGATGGAACTCGGGCTTGTGGAAATTGGATTTGTTTC